AGAATTCTTTTTTTCGGCCTACGCTGAAAAATATTGTCTATTTACGCCACTGTTCATCGCCGTGCTTTAATCGTGAAATAGTGTAACGATGTTATGCTGTTTGTGTTTTATTTGGTTATTATTATTTTCCCGCGAACACGATGCTCGTAAATCGTAATAATTATTTGTGTCGGCGATGCGACGACTGACTCGGGCGAATCCGGTCTAGGAACGCAAGATAATGTAATTCAACGCACAATGTATATAGATACGGTTCGTCTCATCAATATTATCGTATCTCGGTTTTAATTAAAACTTTGGTCCGGCGATGGCGGGTAATAACCGATTATACCGACGTTATACGAGTTTCGACAGAATGTTAATATATTTTATCCCATAAAATAATCCGTCTCGACGTTTTTACGTCGTTTCAGAATTTTAGATTATAACACACATTACGTGTGAGATTATTTTACCGCGCCCGACAGAATTAATTACAGTCGTAACTCGTAACGCCGCGGGGTCCGTGAGACGACGGGCGCGTGTAACGCACATAATATTATTATCGTATGGGTTTTACGAGTAAAGAAAATTAGAAAGTCTGCGATGGTAACATTTTTGGAGGGTGTCGGTAGGGTGGCGGACGAGTGGAAGCGGGGCGACGCGGTTCCCTTTGTGGCGCAGCGGCGGGCCGAAGCAAGTGTGCGACGACGACGGGGTGATGCGATGTAACGATGGCGGTGTGTTGTCGAGCCTACAAACATATGCCTACAACGGAATAATAAATAATAATAATGTTATACTGTGTGCCTACGCGACGGCCCGTACCCGCATGATTTATGATGAAAAAAAAAATCAAATAAGTCGAACGAGAAAACGAGTCGGACGACCTCTGTTAGAATGACGCTCTCACACGCGCGCGTATCGGACATTGGCCCCCGCGCTACAACGTCGAAGCGTGTGTTTTCTATGATATTTTTTATTTACAGTGAAATGAAATGAAATGAAATGAAATGAAAATATTATAATACAAGTGAAATATCGAGACGCGCAGTGGTTCCCAAACTTTTTTGACGGTGCCTCTTCGTGCGGCGATGCCCGGCCGTGTATTCGCCATGACGTGAAACACGAATGAAAAACGTATGCTAATAATTCTCGTCGATAAGCAATTTAAAGCTCGTTCGACTTCGTCAACTATCAGCCAAGTGTACGAGAGTTAACAAAACGAATCACGTGAAAAAAATACCACAAAATAAACCATGAAAATAAAAACCAATTTTTTATATTATACTATAATGTCATATTTTATTTGACAATAGACGACATTACGTCTTCTGATGTTGAAATTGCAAATGTAGATCAACAATCCGACAGACCTCATAATTAGGCAGACTACTCGTACATATATATATCATACAATTATCATATACCGAACACGTGAACAAATGAAACGGAGGACATATAAATCAAAATTGTTGTTTATAAAAGTATTAAAAATATTTGTTATTGAACCCGTTATGGTTTGTATGGTAAATTAAAAATATACATGGCATAAACTGTAAAGAATATTGTTTTTCATATTCGTTTGACCGTGCAGTATAGGCTGGCCGGCTTGGAAACCACTGAAATAATATGGTATACGTCTTAACGAATGCGCCTATCTACCGATATTATAAAAGTATTATCAATTTAATAATTAATTGATTTCGGTACTCGGTAGTAGAGTGAAGAAGAACCGATTGTTACGCATGTGAGCATAATGAACTACAAAATATATACCGACGGACACAGGAAACAGTGAACTCAAGGTTATATATTTATTACATTGATTACTGATCAGACTTTAGTCGATTGTGTGAAGAGTACTATCCAGCAAGCCTGAAGCATATTGTACAAAAACAATACTGATAAAATACATATAATATTATATCAAATATTATTCAATTCCGTCATAATTGTATGAATGAATAAAAATATAGCAAGTGCCTAATAATTATTCTTTTCTGAATAACGGAGTAATGATTTTCCTCTTTGTAACATCTATATACACCTATTTTGCGAGTATTGAATACTATAACCATGAGCCATTATTATTTATATTTATAAATACAGTTTAATACTTCAGATTATTCTTATTTTTTGTTTTATAAATTCATTTTTACGAAATAGAATGTACTTTAAATCTTTTTTTGGTTTTAGGAAAAATGTAATGCGACGATAAAACTAATTATAAATTTAATAACAAATGAATAGAACATCGAAAATACGAATGATTTAATAGTGGCGGGCGTCAACTAAACCGAACTGGTTAACTATCTTTTATTTTTTCTAGCACTGTAAAGTTATGAACTTATGATATCTTCCTGAGTAAACCGAAGACATTATAGTTATAATTGGCGGTGATATTTTTATTCTAAAATGTAAACATTTATTAATTTACAAATTGTATATCTATGTATAAATATGATGGTCTAGCCAAGTAAATAGATGGTACCTAATATTTTCGGTTTGCTTTGCGCAATACAATATGACTTCAGAACCGTATAGTTCTGAATAACATTTTGACATTTTGGTGCATATTTAAAGTGAATATGTATACTATTAGATACGTTAATTAATGAAACCGAGTACAAAACAACACATATTGTACACGGTTTGAATGCAAACTCTTAACAATCTAATAATAATAACCTAATAATCTTATCTTTATGTTATTAAAACGCGAGGCAATTTATTCTGACACCGTTTTTTTTTTAACGCGAGTGTTGTCTAACCAAATCATTTTTAAGAATGTACTATGTAGGAACATTGTGCGTACATAATTCTATCGATGCGTCTCGACAATTCTTCATGACGCCAACCTAATCCAGAGCCATAAAAATGGTGACGCGCGACACACTCGAAACGATTGATGGATTTTTGAAGAATTGACAATAATTATTATTATAAACCTGTGCGACGTGTAAATCGAGGATGAGACTATTTTTACAATTATTATATATTATATATATATATATATATACACATACTCCGTTATAATGTCATATTATATTCATACTTAGAACATTGTATTAGGTGTATAGATGAACGATTTTTTTTGTCGACACGCATTATGGTACTATTGGTACTACGCGGCCCACCGGTCGTCGGGAGCCACCGCTTTATTCCGCGGCAGTTGGTAGTGCCTCTCGTGACGCGGCGAGCGTATTGGGTATACAATGTTACAAGTCGTCTGTATAAAAAACGTTAAAACCGTGTTCGTATTCCGTTTGTATTCTGTACATCTCGATGCGTGCAGTCTCTCCAGCCGCATTCCAAATAATTTCCGAACACAGACCCGCCCCTCGTGTGTGGGGCCGTGGGTTTACTCTGAACAGAGATTATTAGGGAGCGAGGGCTGTTCCTCGTTAAATTATTTCCCGGCGTCATGGCGACGGCGGCAATCGCCGGCGGTCTTTGTTCTCGCCCCTCGCCCCGAAATCTGACAACAGCGCACTAACCCTCGTCGTTTCGGGACGAGCACGTCGTGTTACTTATATATATATATATTTATATACGAGCTCCACGCCTCTTACACCCCAACGTCCCGTCGTTGCTCGTCGTCGTCGAAAGGGCAGATGGTCGTGTATCGATCGAGAAAATGTTCGGGCAACACAACAGTATCACCGTTTCCACTTTAAACCGAATATTTTTATTGCGTTGGTTTTGGGAACTGCTCCTTTTCCCCTCCGTACATACATACATGACATATGGCTAGCGGCCGATATTCGTACGCCGCGTAGTTACAACGAGGAGAGCGTGCGTCGGGTTTTTTTTCTGATGTATACCTACACCAAAATATACCAAAATATTGAGTAACAATAATAACAATATTCATCAAACGGGCATCGTGATTTAACGGGAAATCAATAAAACGATAACAAGTCCCCGTGCATACAAATTACGAATAAAAATTCAAAGTAGCGTCTGTAGAATATTTTTTTTAAAAACGACAATTTAGTTCATAACGAATAATGCTTTTGAAAACTCGTGCAAACGTGTTGTTTTGAAGTGATTATGCATACTCAGGTGCTAGCTTATTCCGATTACACCACTTTAAAATCAATGGTATCTAGGTAAGAACGACCTACCTATTTAAACCACTATCCATTTTCCTACAAAAAAAATAAATGTTTAAATCTTGATTATTAACTACAATAAGGAATTGAGAATATATAAAAGCTCGGTAACTGGCTGTACAGTAGGTTACAAGCAGGTGACTGAGATGGATGGTGTTAAATTTGAATTCTCAATAATAAAATATCATTGTATCCGAATCCTAAAAACGATTCTGAGCGGAGACGCAGACGGTTTGTCGGCCTAGGATATTTTACACTATATTTATATTGTTATTATTGCCACGGCGGCAGCTGGTAGGTTGAATTATTATTATTGGCTTATTACCTATCATATCTGTACATAAATAAATATAAATTAAGTCCAAATAAAATACATTTAAGGTTTCAAGTACCCATCACGAATAATGTTTTTAAGCTACAGCAATACGACTAAAATCGTTATTCTTGGTTCTTTATTTGATACGAGATTCCGCCAAAATTTGAACTCAAAATAACCATACAAAAAAAACCGTGTTTATAATATATTTTTTAGAATTTTTTGGTTACAGAACGAACTACTATTGTAAAACCTTGTTTTAAATGTTCATTCCTTAGCTATGAGAGTTTTTAATTTTTATTCCTCCGCGCGCTCCTGCACCGACACAACCCCCCGCGCGCTCCTGCACCGGCACAACCCCCGCGCTCTCCTACACCGCCGCAACCCCCGCGCTCTCCTACACCGCCGCCACCACCGGGCTCACTACACTGCGCGCCGACTCGCGTTTATCGAGCGCTGCACGGCCCAATCAGATCGTCGGACGCCATTTCCAACTACTATTACGTGGGCAACACTGTTCTCCTCTCCCCCCCGGACGGCCTATGTGTCGATCCACGGTTGTCCACCAACGTCGCTCGTCCGTCGCTGCTCTCTGCTCACTCGTTCCACTGCCACCGTCCTCACCAGTCTTCGGTCTTCCGACTCGTTCTGCGTCTGCTCCCTTTCCCTGTTCAACCGCGTTCCTCGTCCATCTCTCACGATTTCACGGTGATCGTCGACCGACAATAAATGTTATTGTGAAATAATATTATTTTTCGTGTCGATCATTTTTCCCGTGACTCGATTGGACAAATTTTCAAAAATGCCAAACTCCGTGTCCAATTCACCGCAACCCGGGCCGAGCGGTGCAGCACGACGGGCCAAGGCTCCTAAACGCACGCGGTGGGCGAGAATACAGGCAGCGGCGGCGAGAAAACGGGCAGCGGCGGCGAAAAAACGGGCAGAGAAACTTCAAGCACTGGCCCCTCCAAGTCCACCGAAGTATACGGTGATCACGATGCCGAACGGCGATATGATACTACAAATTTACCAAGAACCTGGGTAATATTATTATAATCACAATAAATTACTGTAATTTGATTAACTATTGGTCGTACTAATTGTATATTACTTAGTGTTGTCATAATAATATTTTCTCGATTAATTACAGTCGTAGAGACTGACAGAGTGATATCGTAATTTTTACACTGTTTTGCGACTTTTTTTGCGGTGCGCGGCGTTGAGAAAAAAACTGATTGACGAGTACACTAATAATAATCTAACTCGTATATTTCTTAACCTCGGAAATGATTTAGAATAGAAAGTATTTCGTCGAAATAACACGATTACTGCGTAGGTACATAATAATAATACGGATGAGTAGCGTACGTTTGTGTGTGCGCGTGCGCGTGCGTGTGTTATTACGTCCGGCGGCGGTTATAATTCCCAAATGTATAGACGCCATATTATAACATTTTTTTTTTTAACATCGTTATTGACGGTGCTCTCTCTCTCTCTCTCTCTCTCTACAAACATAATATTCGGCGCGCAACACCGCTTACCCCTCCGCCGCATACCGTTGCCCTACGACCGCGCGGTCGTACCGCGAACACCCCTCCGCCGCATACCGTAGCGCTACGACCGCGCGGTCGTACCGCGAGCACCGCTCCGCCGCTCTACCGACGAACGACCGCCCGATCGTACCGCGACCACCGCTCCGCCATGCACCGAGCATCACCGTGCGGCGTGACCTGTTCGTCTGTGCCGCGACCACCTCTCCACATCACCGCCATCGGACGACCGCCCGATCGTACCGCGGCCCCCGCTCCGTCGCACTGCGCATGGCCAACGAGAACCGACGCGGAGCCAACAGGCCGTTGCGAGTGCGCGCGCGCATTCGCTGTCCCACGCGAGTGCGGGCGACCGTGCTGTTCCGCCGCGGTGCGGTACGCCCGACAAAAGCCGTCTTGTTGTAGTGGGCAACGTGGGGGGAGGGGGTAGTCGCGACCGTCGATTCCCGAAAACCTCCGTTTCTCGACATCGTTTTAGCTGGTTCACGTCGATAAAACAAGCGATCGTCCATAATATTGTTATGACGGGCTCCGGTAACGTCGGAACGCATTTTCGTTCGCGGTGTTTGTCGATGAGTGTGAATTCGGATTTGAACTCACAATAATTGACATTGCGTTATTAAAAGTTACGTTTTCGATGTACACAGAGCAAAGCACCGAATCGCGTTATGAAAAACGATAATATAAATTAAACGATGAATACTCGATGGTTGTCCTCATTGTTGTATCGGTGTTGTCCCACGTACCCGACGTATTGGGTAGCAAAATGCGTTGCTTAAATATAATATTGTTTTGCCGCGAGTACAGTAAATTACTGCTCTAGCCATATCTCGAACAGTGACTTGATATAGAAATAGTACAACAGTATATTATTCGCGTCGATTAGAACGCTCGTGTGTGCGTGTGTGCGTCGGTTACGAGTACTTACTGCCGACGGGCGATAACCCGCCGACTTCTAGCGGCGGCGGCGGCGGCGGCGGTTATAATTCCCAAACGTATAGACAATTATCATAATATTATTTCGGTAAAATTGTATTTCACCGACAGCGTTTCTCCACGAGCAACAGTTTAGGGCGCGCAACACGGCGGTCACCCCTCCGCCTTACTACCACACCCGCACGACGTTACCCGAGCGACCGTACCGCGGCACCCACCCACTCCAATCCTGTCGTCGAGCACCGCTTCACCGTCCCGCGACCACCCACCGCTCCATCATCCCACGACGACCGCTGCGCAACGCGGACCGACCACCGACGGGAAGCCGGTCGGCGCGTACGAAAACTTGTAGGCGGTTAGGTTATTCGTTTTAAGGGGCTTGGAATAGGCAATGTGAGAGAATATTTTTAAATAGCTCTTTTATATTGTATATAATATTATGTCTTATGAACCAATTTTTTATGTACCTTCTACAAATATCAAAATTAAGATGTCTCGGAAGTTTCTGAACTGCTGCATTTATTTTATAAACCAATTATTAATGTACTACAAATATCGAAATATTAAGATTGCTACAAGGTCTGCTACATGATGGTAATGTAGCAATTCAAATATTAATTTGATAAACAAATTATTATATTTCCCGTACCTATATGATGAATAGGCATTTGTTAGATATTTCTTTTAACACATCACAATACATACTAATATCTCACAAATATTTATCTGATATCTTGTTATCCTGCTATCTATTTCTTATAAATATTGGAACTAAAATATTGTATGTAAGTAAATGACCCGTGATTTACGTAAGTGACGACCCATAATGGTTAATGCTGTAAATACAAGTATTAATTATTTATTGTTTGCGTCAATTCACAACTCATGTTGGACGTTGTTGTAAATATTATACATTTATAACAAGGGCTCTGGACTTTAAGTGCTTTAAATCTTAAATATGTGCTTATATCTGCACCATATGCATGGAAGCATATTGTAGTGTTAAAAAAATCAAAATTATTGAACACAAGAATAACATATTATCATTAATGAAAACAATACATAAACTATGAACATATTAAAATGTACTTTTTAGTAATTAATGAATAATAATAACTTGAAATAGAAACAAATGAAGTAAGCATACTAACAAATATTTTGAAACAGGCATTTATAAAATGAAAAATCAAATTTGTTCGATTTACCACAATTATTTCTGCATTTTTTATCCAAATGACTAGTTCGGCCAGGCACAAATGTTGTTTTGTTTATTTAGTTAGTCGAGGTGTGAGAGTTTTTATAGGTCACATATTAGCCTTTTAATTTTAGTTTAAAAGACCTTAAGTCTTGACAAAATAAAAATCAGTTAGCATTAAAAACTGCGCAATTGTGTTAATATGCTCATAATGGACTGGCATCAAAACAAATTTTCATTTATGGTGTTTGTCCAATGGGCTGATGAGTGTTAGATAAATGCTGCAACATTTTTTTTTGTGACGTTGACGTATTTACCAAGCTAGTAATTAAAAGTTAAAATTTTAATATAGAATAAATCATTTAAAATTAACTGTTATAATTTGCAAATAACGCATTTAGGTAATTATATTATATTGCTAACAAATTATCCATCTTTAAATCTACATAATATTAACATAAAATTATGTAATAAAGCTCTTAGTATATTTTTGGCTTCATATGACCAAATTGTGCAGATTTTAAAAATCCAAACTGCTTCAAAATATTAAATTTTTCCTATGTCCGTTCTCTTTTTGAATGTGGATCAATAATTTGCTTGGTTTAATACATCAACCAAACACATTCAGCCCCGGACTTTGAGGGTACTAGTATTTAAGTTTAATAGATCAAGTGTATCTGTTGATCAACTAGCTAGTGAGTGTAGCATTGACGAATCGTTACTAAGAAGGTATAATTACTGTAGGGAGATTTAATAAAAAATAGAAATAGCATTAAAAATAAGAAAATACAATTACCTAATTATTTTGTACAATTAATAAAAAAAAAACTTTTTATCTAAATTAATCTGTAACATTTGATTTTATTGATTAAGAAAAAAATAATAACATTGATTGATAGAAACAAGTTTTAATGATAGAATAACAGATTATCATTAGATAAACATTATTAAAAAAATACAACTAACCTAACTACCCAGTTACCAACCTGTCAGTTAGGTAATTATTAACATATGGTAATATGGTCCCTAATAGCTGATCATTAAGTCTTATATAGTTATATAATATTATAATTAAATATACTGTGGTAATAATATTTAATGAAAGACGTAAAAGCAATGTTAATTTTATTTGTTGTTATCATAATTATAATTATTATTATTATTAAATTATTGTTTTAATAGGTACAACTAGAAATAATACAATACATACACTTTTTACAGGCAATACTTAACTGAATATTTTTTACATTGTTTTATAGAGATATGCCACAGATTGTTGAAATGATGACTAAAAAAAATTTTCCACTCTTGATGTGTTCAGAAGACGATGGGTACAACCCACTACTTTTAAAATCCATTCAGTTTTATCATCAGGATACTAAAGACAGATTGGTAGTACCACCACATATTAAGTTAAATGTAACATATGATTCATATCACCGCAAAACAGTGAGTTGGATGGTCGATATTGAACGTAGAAATTGTAAGTTGATAATTAGTACATTATATTTTAATTACCAATTAAAACCTACCATAGTTAAATATTTTATAAATATATCCACAAATTCAACTCTTAATAAACTGGTATTATTTTTGTAATTGTATTACTTTATTAACTTTAATTTATTAGAAAAAATACTGAAATTCAAATACCACTTTGCAATAAAGAGAAACATTATTTTTCCAAAAGTAGCTATCTCAAAAATTATTGATATTTATATTACTATCAACATACGAAGAATATTACATTAATAAAACTATTTTCAATTGATAGTCCAAGAAATAACCAAGAAACCAAGATTTCCATAAATATAACAGCTCAATTAAAATGATTGGTTCAAATTGAATATTTAATTTTGTTTCAGCTATAAACGATCAATCTCAGTTTACATCTGGTATTTTAGCAGATGTATTAGATGAGGATAAACGATTGGAGATGATTTCTTGCATTGTGGCAAATACCGCACCAACAATAGTATTTAATTTTAAATTTTCTGTTTATTATATATGCCTAAATCAATTGTTATTATTTCCTAGACCTATCGGCAAAAAGTCCTACTTGATGGACGCAGTGAAAAATTAAAATCAGAGTTTCCGATACCATTACATAGCAAATGTATAACGTCAAAAATAAACAAAACATTCTATTATGGACCAAAAATATTCAATACATTAATAAGTTAATACATGCCATTAATATAAATAACAATATTTAATCAATAGCCTACTATATTCTAATTATATAACATTTACAGAAGATAGATCGCAAAGTATTATTCAGCGTTTATCTAATAGATTGTATTTATCAAAAAGAAATGTTGGGAGTGAGGAAAATCTTGCTTGTTATTGTAACAATATACCCTCAAAAAGCTCTTTACTGATTTGTGAAATGTGTGGTGAAGCCCAGCATAAAAAGTGTGTGGTGTATGATCCAAGAACGGAAGGAGGGCTGCCATATTTGTGTTCCAGTTGTTGGACATTCAATGATCCCATTCAATGTAGAGCTACACTAATCGTTGTTCCAGACAATTGTTTGGAACTGTGGAATCAAGACGTAACATTTTCTTTTAATTATATATTATCTATAAGTATTAATATTCTAATTCTAATTTCAGATTAAGAGAATTGTTAGTCCAGCATTAAAGTGTTTTGTCTACAATGGACTCCAATCATGTAATTTTATACAACCAACTATTTTTAATAACTATGATGTAGTTCTTATTTCATATAGTAAAATAGAAAAGGAATTAAAATATGGACTATATTATGTAAGTATAATATTTAGTATATACGTATTATAATTTATAAGTGTATTTAATAGTTAATAAGTACAAATAAGTGCATAGAACATAGAATCAGAGTCTGAAGCACTTGGAGCAATGAACGTGTTGATTTTAAAATTATTGTTTTTGTGTGTGTGTAGACAACAATTAGTCTAAATAATACTTTGATTTTCAACTTCAGTAACTTTTCTGATGGTTAAGTGAACATTAGTTGGTGCATTTGAGAGGTCAACAGATCAGTAAACCATACAATTTTCAAATATTTTGAATCTTTTGGATATAATTATAGGTACAAGAAATTTTTGATTTTTAAAATTTATTGTTGATAAAATAATTTTGCCTCTGTCGAGGAACTTAAAAATGTAATACAAAGTTTATTATAAATTGTTATAATAGTAGGTTAAAAATATTAAAGACACTTTTTTTTATAAGCATTTAAGTTCAAATTTGGACAAAATTAGATATTTAGTTTAAAAACTCTTTAAAAATGTATCTAAATACGTCATGAAATTTTCTCCAAGACTATTTTCTTATATTTTTTAATTAATTATTTAAATTTTAAAGATTAGGTGCAATTGCAAAAAAGTGGAAATGTAATTTTTAATTAGAGCTATTAAAGCAGAAAATATAAAAAATATTTGAATTTATTTGCTTCTTGGCTATGTCTCGTTAGAAAGTAATTTGCATTTTATTTTCTTTATTAGGTAAAAGTGAATTAAAAATCATCTGGTACTATATTAGTTAAATTGATTAATACAACAAATCGAAAATCCATTTCCTATACAACCTGTAAAAGAGAATAAGAAACATAATATATTTTCAAAATTATAATTAGACATTTGGTACTTAGTGAGTTTTGGGGGGGGGGGGGGGGGGGGGGTCTCATGGCCTAAATTTTTAAAAATAAAAATATAGTATTGTGATGTATGTCGCATAAGTTTGCTACAAATTTCCAAAAATCTCAGCCAAAGTTTATCTTTAATTACATTAAGTGTTCAGGTAATTACACTAATAATCTATCACTAATCACTTCACACTCAGTCACATGCTCGCATAACACTCCAGATCAATACAGAATATTACCCAAATCCAATCCCTTAAAAATGGTTCAACAGCCTTATATTTCATATAAAATTTTAAATAAGTTTTCAAGTATGATATTTGATGATAAGCTTTGTCTGTATAATTTGTAACAAGATAGGTTTATTTTCGGTTGAAATTTCAAACGAGATCCAATATCTTCTTATGGAGAGGGGGCTGCATGTTATCTGTGTTTTTGCTCATAAACATGCCTTATACTGTAAAAAACATAATCATAAGCAAAACTCTTATTTATGAACAATAAATTTTATATACATATTTATCTATCTTCAAATATAGAAAAAAAAATGTATACTTATATACATAACTGTACAAAAACTATGATTAGAAAGCATTACGACGCGCCAAGCGTTGCATTTGTTTAACCTATTTAAAAATTTTTTTTTTCTCAATCATTTTATTATCAGAGTATTTTGGGAATTTTCTTTCTTGAAAATTAAACTAAATTATTATAATATGATTATATGTAAGTAATGCTAATTTTATGAAACTTTAAATAATTTAAGATCATTATAATGAATAGGTATATTAAATGTAACTAAAAGCTAAAGAATACTGTATAGAATATACTTATGTTATTAATAATAAATAATATTGACTCAGTGGAAATTCAGACAAATAAATGTATTCCATTGGTTATGAGTCATGACTTATATTTTAGTTAACTAATAATACAATAACAATTTATTGGTAAAAGGTCGATGAAAATCAAGTAACCACTGGCTTGCGGTGGTTTAAAAAATACCCCAAATCTCCACTGCTTTGCATAAACTGGTGGAGGATATGTCTAGATCAACCACAATCGTACAACAAAAACATTGAAAAAATATTGACAAATCTTTTGCCTTTAAGATCAGGGCATAAATGGATATTGCCTGGAGCATTAATACAAGATTCACCACAAGGTAAATACTTTATTATTATGTTATGTATAACAATTGAAATCATTCAAAATATATACTTATACACCTTTTAATGTTTTGAAAATTAAACATTTTGTTTTCAGATTTTTTTAGTATTGTGAAGTACTTGAATTTATTAGGTGATAAATTTGATGATATCGATTTTATTCAGGCGGTAAAAGAAAAAAAGGAAGATTTGATTATTTGGATTTCAAAATTTGTATGGTCTAATTTAATAAGAAATATCCATTTAGAATTGAATTTACCATTTCCAATTCATGAAATTCATTGGTTGAGTTTTCCACCAATCGAAAACTATTTTTATAAAAATTGTGAACGGTTCTATGCTTCATACATAAAAAACAAGTAATATTTTTACTCAATCATAAATATTAGTTGTATATATAATAACATAATGTTAATACCTAACATTTTTTCATGAATAATTCAAGTAATAATTAAATTATTACATGTTTTATTTTTTATTTGCGACATACAAATTAAAATCATCAAAATGAAATCAAGCTAAAATGAAACTATTTCAGTAATGTGGAATAATCCCTATTACAAGTATTAAGGTTGAAAAAATAACTATTCCCTATTATTATGCACTTATAGATAATATGTACTTAGTGTTTTTAAAATATACATAGTTGATTGTATACATTATTCATGTTATATTTACTCTTTATTATAATATATCTTATTACAGTAAGGTACTGTCGTAATATCGTAATATAACTTAGCAGATAATTTAAGGAATAGCTCTTTCACCATTGAGTATCAGTGGACAATGGTGTGCACATTTTATGAAGATCAATACATTTTTTTTTAATCGATTTAATAACCTATGTACAAATTTGATTACCTAGTGATATTTTTATTTCGCATATTCTCTTGTTTTTTGATAACTGATTAGGTAGTTGAATACTTGTTTTTGGATTTTGAAAATGAAAATAAATATTTTCATACTATCTATATATTTGTATTTTTATAAACATTTTCAAAAATGAATGCAAACAAAATGCACTTATAATTACTACCTACTGTGTTTATTTTGTTCATTGGTATTATAAAAACTACTCCTTCACATATTTAAAATTCCTATTTTCATTTTATATGTTTACATATACTTGTATAGTTCTGATGAGTTATTCGTATAACCTGTATAGGTAGCCTATATAGAATTTGTATATGTACATTAATACTTATATACAAATTGTATTTTTTATTATTACTTTTGAATTTTGATATTAGTTCAATTTATCATTATTTATTGGTGTTTTTCCTGAAAATGTGCATGTTGTGTATGATTTTAATTACATATTTTATAATTCTTCAGTATATATTCAATCTATTTATGGTGCATAAACATTGGAACACTAATTATCAGTAATTGTTTTTAATATATAATTTCTTTGCTTGGTTATCACCCATTAGCTAGTGACTAGTGTGCAAACAGTGTGGTTTTATTTTCATGTTACCATTTTTAACGACTTGCAAAATGTTGAGAACCATTATTTTGAGCCATTCTTGCATCAAAATTATTGGATTATAATTAATGATAACTTAACATCAGTTAGCACTATACAATACAATATTGTATTTTAAAATGAAACACTTTTCACCTGAATGTCTTTATTATTACTGTGTTAAAAATTAATAAGTTACTAAAGTAAGTAACTTACTTTTCTTTAAAAGTTTCTTAAAATATGGTAGGATAGCTGACCTTATTTGTAATTTTTCTAAATCATTATTGAATACAACCAAATTATTTGTGATAACAGATGATGGCTCTAAATATGAAAAATAGTCAATTGCATTGATTTCAAGGAAAATGTTGCTACCTTCCTAGAAATCTTAGTTTCCTTATATTTGTTTTAATTTGGTGTAGAATTTACGCAGCTTATAAGTACCTTAAGTATTATTTTCTTGACAATTACGGTATATTCATGTATTTTGTTTGTTTCGTATAAAAATTGTGGAAATCGAAACTTAGACAATAGTTAGATTTTGAATGTTCTTCCATGTATACGTAATGAAATTCCCATAATATATAGAATAAAACAAATTGCAATGAAAAATATTGTATAAAATCTAAAATAAATACATTCTAATTGACTGTAAAAAAATATTGAAATTTTAATCATAGAATTCATATTTGATTTCATATTTTTTAAGAGGAAATTCTGCTTTGATGAATAAACTAATGGATGTTGATGGAGATACAAAACTGGATATTGTTGGAGCTATTTTAATTTTACTAGAAGCATGTGTAGTGCCAACGGTAATTATAATTTTATATAAATATAAACCTATCATATAAAATCGATATTATAATTCATTTTTTTATCTTAAAGATTCGTGGTGAAGAAATGTTGAACATAAATGGAACTTTTGGGTTAAGATATACGTTAGAAGAGAGAAAAGTCAAGTATCATGGTGAATGCAACACATTGTTGCATCAGTGGGCTGAATGTCTGACAAATTTGGCCGAGGTGCACACCTTTGTTCTAAATAAGAGTGGATATTATATGGACCTTGTTGTAACTGACTTAATGCAACTAATGAATAATTTCTACAAAAGCACCTTTACAATTGGAACAGATTACGAGGTAAAATGTATTGAATAATTATTATTTTAGTTTATTAATTTGTTATTTTTTTAAATAGTTACTCGAAATGGTTTTTAAATTTATCAATCTTCTCAAAGAAAATGCTTCTGTTAAACTCAGATTTCCTGACATTGCTCGATATTACTTGGAAAATGCAATTATAGATTTGGAGTCAAATATTTTAAAAGTTCACCCAATTAATGTGAGTATCATTTGTATACAGATAGAGTATAGAAGCTTGGATATAGGTGATAAAATGTATGCCATTAATATTCAAATAATAATCATAAAAGCTAATTTCTCTATTGCAGAATCATATTTCAACAACAAATTATCGTACCTCGTTTTTTCCCAGCTTAACAATTTAAAAAATATTGAAAATGTAACACTTGATCTCTTTGTTTCAAACTCTTACTTAATCAATATTGAAAAAATGTCAATTTCTATTGTTCCCATAGATAAAATGCATCCCCCTATAGATATAAATTTTGAAATTAGCCACAATGATATACTACCGTTTAATAATACAATTTTTAATTGGAAATTTGGTGATTATCTCTAATACAAACTAATTAGGTTCCATAGAATGGAATAAACATTTTCAAGACAATGATGTCAACAATAATCTAAATCTCTTCTTTTCTCAGATTAATTACGTAATAGATTTATTTATTCCTATATTAAATAGATATAATACCAAAAAACCCTATTTGGTTCAGTAAGGAATTAATTTATATAATAAAACATAAAAAAATACGCTCATGATATTATATACAAAGCATCAAACAATTTAAACTCATTCACAACTCCAGTAAAGAATAACTCAAAATTTTTGAATACCGAAAAATTAACTTCCTATTTACCCAGCTCAATGTCTTATCTAGAAAAAGAAGCTGATAAATATAACCGATATGATATTATTAACTTATTTCAATCATATTTTTCTAATACATATAATCGAAATACATCAAATATCCCAATAATACTCAAGACAAAATTTGTTTAATTAATATATACAAAAAATAAATATATTTAACTAACTATGGCATATTAATTTGAAAACATCACCAGGTACCGATATCATTTTTTCAATCTTGAGCTTTTGTCTTAACACCAATTTTAAATTTAATATTTAATAAATCTCTTAATACTAAAGTATTAGGTACCAAATAAATGGAAAACCTCATTAATAATTCCCATCCATAAAAAAAAGTAGAACCTCTGTCTTAAATTATAGCCCAATCTCGAAAGTCTCAATTTTACTTAGGCTATTTTCTAAATTGATAAATAAAAACCTAATCCCTATGTTATGTAAAAATATAATAATAAATCTTAGGTTAAATCACGGTTTTCGTACAGATCGATCTACAATTTTCTAATTTATCTATTTTCAAACAATCGATCCTAGATTCTTTTAAAGACGGACTCCAAACTGATGTTAATTATACAGATCTTGAAAAGGCTTTCCACAGAGTAAATCAAAAATTATTTATACTTAATCAATAATTTATAAGCCTATGGATTTTGTAATCCACTTCTTCTTAGGTTCGAAACATTTTCAACGATTTTCAGCTATGAATTAATATTTTTGACTTTTTAGAATTTTTTTCTATTATTGTAATAAAAAGTTTCACATAATTTGTTAATGGTGTAATAATAAAAAAAATTTCAGTGTACATCCGTAGTAAATTTATGATTGCCCAATGCTATAGATTTTTGAAGGAATTCGTCAAAATCCCGAAAATTTGCTAATTAAGAATAAAAATTCATTAAAAAATTCCTTATTATAGCTAACATAAAAAATATAATACGAGTTTTTCTACCTTTATCAAAATAAAATCTTTTAATTTTAGATTCTTAAAAAGCGAAATATCCTACGACGGAAGTTATTCGAGACAAGTGATATGACTGAAAAATTTAATTCACTTAAACATAATTATTGGTGGATTAAGATGTTGGAATGTATTTCATCACCGTTAGATTTTTTAATGGAAGTTAAAACAACTATAGATAATAATCTCAAATCTTCTATACCGAACATTGTGAATAAGTAAATATATAATTTATTATTTGTGACTTTTTAACTTGTTTTTGATCGATTACAATTGTTTTAAATATGTTTTTATTTTATTAAGATTGAAATCATTGGACGATGTTAATTTTACTCTAACTAATTGGCTAACAGATACCATAACAACTAGAAATAGTCTGGTGTCAACTTATAGAACATTAGATAGAAACTCCCGTGGCAATATCGTTGAATATTGTTGTGCTAAAGCTTTTTGTACTACAGGAAATGAGTTAGTAAATAATTATTTTCTGTAATTACCGTTTTTTTTAATGATTTAATTTTTGTATTATTTTTAGATGCTTACTTTGTCAGTTTGAACATAAATTACATCATTATAAGAGATTATTATTTAATGATAATATTGAAAACATCGATGAAAATATCATTAAAAATCTTAATGAAAGTAATCGAGAACAAACTGTATCCCAATATGAAATTTTATTAAGGAGTTAGTGAAGATATTAAATGAGGTTAGATTATATTATTCAATAATATTAATTATATTTTTTCAGGCTTAATTTTGTGTGAAAACAACAATAGTGTGACTGATGATTATATAAAAAAAGCAACTGAACATATGGAGATTCTAAACATACTTAGTTCAGAATTTCTTTGTATGTGGAACCTATGGCTTAGCCTTGATAAATATAAGAATTCTTGCAAACAAATTATTAAAGCTAAGTCAAAACCCACAGTTGATGATGTTTTAGCTAAAATCCAAGAACCTGGTAAACATACAACTAAAAAAAAAAAGATGAAAGTTAATGTCGCTGATCCTAAAAGTGCTGAGATTACCGACTTGGTAAGTCCATAAAGAAATAAATATGTGTTTGTTCTTAATGAATTTTAAATATTTTAGTTGACAGAACGTTTGAAAGAATTGAAATCAAAGAATTCATTTTACTTTGAAAAATTAAAAACCAGACATAAATCTCTTATGGCCTTACAGATGATACCACCTTATAGTAATTCAAATTCTACTTTTTATTCGTGTGATGCTTGTGATTCTATAATGAATGAAGTATGTATAATGGCAATTGTACAAATATTTTGTTTAATAATATTAAATTTTACTATTTTCTAACAGCATTTATTATTAAACTGTGGTCATTGCGTATGCAATAAATGTTTCATAGAAGAATGTGATGCTACATATTCAATCCAATTGAGTTGCCCGAAATGTTTTCTTATATATTCAATGAAAGATATGGAGCGCATTAAAGAGTATCATGATTTTGGGGTCCAACTGAATGGATCCTATTGTATCAAATTAGAAAGTATAGTTTCTAAGTTAAAAGAATTTATAACTATAGATGAATATAGTAAAGTCGTAATTTTCTCGTCTGTGAGTATTTCTTATATTTTATGTTTACGATATTTAATTTATCATGAATATCATTTTTAAATATTAAATTAATTTTAGTTTAAAACATCGTTGGATTGCCTTTCTTCAGCGTTAAGCCTAAATTCTATACATTTTATGAAATTAGATTCGGAAAGTTCAAATAGTACTACTATCCTAAACACCTTTGAGGTCAGTAAAACATTTACATATTTGTTACATAATTTATTTTTTTTATAATATAGTTTTATTATAAAATATATAGTTGAATCCTCAAATTTTATACAATACACTTTGTTTTTGTTTATAGAATTCAAAACATATGACAACAATATTAATCAATTTAAATGTGGAATTGAATTATTTGAAATTAAACTTTGCAACAAGAGTATTTTTTATGGAACCAATTATGGACAAATCATTTGAGAATAAAATTGTGGATCAAATATGTAGTAAACGAATATTGTAATTACATTTATACATAAATAAATTAGGTTTTTATTGTAGTAAAATTTATACAATTTTTAATTGAAAATACTTTGTTGCTACATTTTACAGTCCAAATTATTAGCCCAGTCGGAACTTTTTGATTTAAATTTAATTTCAAACACATTTCTTCACCTTATTTTTACCATCACTATTTTTACAGTTAATTGCTTAATTTAGATAGTTCATTATAAAGTATAAATTATTTGCTTACAACTAAATTTTTCAACCCTTTTATTTTGTTATATTTTTTCAAATTGCTATCCTAATTTATCCTTGTAATATTTTTATCTCACAACCTATTTAAGCATAATTATTAATTTTATTTTAATTTTTTAATTATTTTTAGACCAACATATGTACATCATTTCATCATTAAAGATTCTATCGAAGAAAAAATCTCAAAAACATTTACCAATAATGACACTTCATTAGGTATGGATCTCACTCTAGGTCAACTAGCAGAATTACTTATAAATGAAACAGATCTACAAATTGATTAAATATTAACAGATAATAACATACTATCAATACTATATAAATTCAATGTTTTTATTGTATTTTATTGTTATGAATTAACATACAGCTGGGTTTAATTCAAATTTATTACCTAATACTGTTCTATGTTATTTTATTTTGTTATGTTTGAATAATTCTCAATATAGTTCAAAATGAAATTTATGGTTAATTTAAATAATTTTATGTATCCATAAAAAGAAACTTATAATTTTAAATATTTTGTGTAAATTAATTTCTTAGTCTTAAAATGAATTGTATTATTTTTTATTGTTATAATATTTGCTTGATAATTTTATGTTGTTTTTAATTTAATATTATAAATATTCATGTATTACAATTATACCAGCCATATCTAACCATTATAAGTCGATTTGGTATGTTGAACACCATTGGCTATGAGTAGTTACACATGGCAATACAATAAAATGTAAATTAAAAAAAATATATGGGTATACAATCATGTTACTATAATTATCAAATGTATTTATGTTTCATTTTGTTTCTGAGCCCTTAATTGTATTAGAATAAAATAAATACATACCTTTATGGCCTAGACCATAGGTCCTACCATTAGGGAAGCAATTGTTATAATACTATTTTTAATTAATATGACTTTCGGGGCACTTATTTTTTCCAACTTATTAGGAATCTTGAATTAGATTTTCAAATCGTAAATAATATAAAAGAAAAGTTTTTATGAATTTTTAACTAAAAATAGTTATAAAGATGTTTGTAATTTGATCAAACATCTTACTTTAAACTTAAAACTTTTATGCAAACTTATTCTGACTTCGTGTTTTCAATATTCTTTAATTAAATTGGTATATGAACAAGTTATGATGAGCCTTGCATTCAATTTTCAAACATTTTATCCAAGTAAAAAATGTTTATTGATTTTCAAAATATTTTGAAAATCGTATCCCTGTATGATAAATGATCATACAAACATTTGGTGAACATTTCAAGTACCTACTTATCTAAAGTTATTTGTTTTTTTTTGGGGAGGGTTTTAAAACGAATTAAAAAATATAGAATGATTTTTCTTTAGGCCCCTGCAAACTTGTCATTTCTCTGGAGTTGAGTTCAGGCAATTCTTTCGGTCATTGCGGTCACTGCTCATCTTTGGGTATGCCGTAAATGATGATTTGTGTGTGTGTACTCCCCACCAAGCAGCCACATGCACATGTCATTTGGTCATTATACCAAAATATTAAAAATCAATATCTTGACTTGAAATAGCTATACACCTGGAAAAAATTTAAGTACCTACTTTCAAAGGTCCGATTTACAATATGTAAAGTGTTTGAATGTGTAAACAAGATTACCTTGCATCGGTCAGTGCACTTCTTCAATTTTGATGATTTTTTGATGGGAATAAACAATTTTTAAATTAAAAAAAGCAGAAAAAACTCATTTTTGGCTTTCCTGTAAAATTTATAAAAATCGGTTACTGTCTTTTTCCTTTCCACCTTTGATATCCAATGCATTGTATTACCATGTGTAAGCAATACATAATATATTTTTTTCATTGATAAAACCTGTTGAACAAAAATTGTACATAATTATTATTTATTAGTTATAGTTGGAAATTAAATCTTTAAAGTAGTACAATCTATAAAATATTAGTTACAAATTACAATTATTATTAGTTCTCAAAATGTATTGTAACAATGTTTAAAAATATAACAACGTTCAACGAAAATAATCAAATAATATTTGGACATACTAAACATTTAACATTATAACTGTAATACACCCAAAAACAATAATTTTAAAAGGGGGTTTTTAATAATTATTAGTATTGAATAGGTATATTAAATGTAGATGAGTTGTATTTATAGAATTGTTGATCAGAAGCCCGACGATAACACATAATGACCATTACCTACTTTTAGAGTCTGTACACACCTATGACCAAACTGAACTTCACACAGATACACAACAGTATGTCAGTATAACACAATACTTTTGTATAATAAAATAATAATTATACAATCTTTATAGTAGTTTATATACAGACCGCTGGACGATGCATGAAAAAACATTTTAATTATTAAACATTTTATGATAATCGTCTAATTTTAAAAGAAAATATAGGTAAAGTAAATAGACCGGCTACACGCTGAAGCGCCGCCAACAACGTCGTTCACAATTGCGTATTACCTATACCAATAGTTGATTTGGTTTTAGTTTAAAACTTTTATTGTTATCTGCTTGGAGGGGTCCCCCTTTTTGTCATGGATATATGGCCGCGATTATCGTCGAACAAGTGCTAAAAGCATATCGTACACAGTCAGCTCGTGTCTTATACTTATAGACTATAGTATAGTAGCTGCAGTTGGCTGTTCCAGAAAAACAAGACGATGATGAAGACAAACTATTTTGTTTGTCCTTATTGAAAGATATCAAAAAAGTACCAGAAACCAAACGTCTGAAACTCAAAATTAATACATATAATTTAATACTACAAAATCAAACAGTATCACCACCTAGTAGATATCACTCTCCAATGTATAATCACCAATACATGCCAAGTGACATTGTATACCCAAACTATGATACTACATCATATGACACACCCGCACGCAGACATCATCAAGATTATACTAGGTACTATAGAGAAAAACAATTATCAACATCAATTGACTTCATTATCTTCACCTTCTCCAACACCATCAAATGTCAGTGACGTTTCTCAAGAATCAATTATGGATTTATTTGAAGAAAATTACTAACAAGTTTGTAGTATAACAAGTATTAAATACAATTTTTAATTTTAATTATGTAAAAATCATTAATAAAGAAGTTTTCATTTTTAAAAATGTTTTAGTTTCAAAGTATATTTCAAGTTAAAGTAATTTGTTATGTTTGTAAAATTAAAATTAAAGTACATACCTCAGAGTTAGATATTATAAGTTTTTCTTCGGGTGAAATGCAATACCTAATTGCACTTTCATCAGCAGTAAGTTCTCCCTTTATTAGTTCCAACGATTCATCAAAAGATTGAATTGACATTCTGAAGCAGTTGAAAAATTTAGGTTCGTAATTCCTATGACTCGGATAAAGCGTAATATATAAGCTTGAGGTAAGTCTATTTTGTAAAATAGGATGAACCCAATATTTTCGTGCTTTTTGTCTACGACGCTGTCTTCTTCGATACAGTATATCCATAAACAAATCGCATCTGCAACATCCATCTTTGACAGAATACAATACTCGATTGACTACGGTATAAGCGCGCGCTTACCGCCTAAATTCAGTAAACATGTGAACAGTATGAACGACAATGAACTATTTAGACGCGCGTTTAACGCCTCTCATGTGAACTAGCCCTTATTGAGCAGTACCGCGGCGTGCATTAACAAACTGTGGAGCCCCGTGCCCGAAATGGAAATTTTTACGAACCGTTCCGCTTACACAATTAAAATGCCGTATGCCAATATCACCAAATATAAAAAATATTTTACATAAATTTAAAATTAAATGCCTATTGTAAATGTATTCTTTGTCGTGTCTTAATTTGTACCTTTGTTTTAAAATGCCAATTTTTGAATATTTTTTTTTGTTTTCATTATACATAGGTATTTAAAGCGCAATAATACTTTGTGTAGGTACTTTTAAGTGCTATTATATCTCAATTCTGATTTTAAATATTAATAAATAAATGGGCGTTATTATAGATGGACACAATTATTAACATTTATTATGTTGAATCTGTCGACCGTCTTAGAAAAGTACTTACGTAAAATTCGTAAAACATTAACACAAGATGCGTATGAATCCAATTTTGTTTTAGGCTTGTTAGAGAGTCAGAGTGAGATGATATTATTTATCGAACTGCAGGTGTAGTGGTAGTGTACCTACTTATATTGTTCGCTTTTTCATTTTTTTTTATTTAAAGTTTGTGTTACAGTTAAGTACAAGATATAAATGAATATAGTTCGCTTTTTACGATGGTTTTATAGGTAACCCATTAACATTTCGTGAGAATTTTATTTATCAAAATATTAGCTTACTTAATCAAAATATTGTAAAAATTTGAGATGTTAATTTTACCAGTTTTTTTTTTACAAAAGAATAATTAAATATTCGTTATATGAACAAATACAGTGATGGTATAGAACAATAAGTCCATTTTTAGTTCATTATTGCTTTTATTAGAAAGAACTAAATTTGTCAAGCATACAACAATAGAAATTACAATCGTATTTACTAATAAAAAAAGATGGCTCTAAGATATTTTAGCCTAGATTCTATTTTACTGTGTTTACCACTTTACCCATAAAATTACTAATAAGTGAAATATATAACAGTTATCATCGTATGTATCAGTTAAATTTTAAACGTATACTGCTATAGGTGTAACAGGAAGACATGAAAAATGGAATAACTTTTGTTGTAATAAATATTTAAACATTGTTTTTTATGTGTAGGTTATAATTTATAGACAATGTGTTTTTATTTTTTAATACTGAAAATTAAAATTTTTTTTTTTGCAAAAGTTTAAAATATAGACTATTTGTAAACCTAATATTTAGACAAATTTAAAAAAAGTTTATTTTGGTCAAGTCGTTTATTTGTTTACAATATTTTCTGGTGTCGACTTTACAACATAGGTATACCTAACGTTTATGATTTATAAGTAGTTAAATCGTTTTGATGAGTAGAATGATGTAGAGTTCTATAGTGCTACTGTGGTATTGTCCAAAATGTTAGAATCGCTCATCATAACTTTAAATACTAAAATACTAATAGCTTATAAGTTACTTATCATAAATTCAATTTATATAGATCAAAATACGAGTACTATGAACACAATATTCTCTATCGGAATATTAAAAAAAATGCATGATGCCATTTAAAAGAGGAAAAAATGTACATATAACGATTTAAAGTCGAGTAAGACAATTAGACAAATATTTTCAAAAACGTTAATGTTTTCTGAAACGCATAATTTGGCGTTATATCTATAATTGGTATTTTTATGTAGTTTTAAATTGTATAGGTACCTACCTATACTCCCAATTTAAATCCATATAATAATCCTCAAATCTCGTACTTCCCGA